GTTTAATGTATGAATTAAAATATAGAACAATATGCAAATTAAACATATAAAATAATTTTGCTTATTTTTTATTACTTATTAACATATTAATAGATACTAGGCCAAATGCTTCGTGAAGGAAAGTTAACTGGGGTTTAGAAAGTCGTATGACAAAAAGAATAGAAAAAAGTAAAATTATAATTTTAAAAACTTTATTTATATTTATTATTTTTTTACATGTTATTGCACATGAAGACACTATATAATTTAAAAATAAAAAATAAATTAAAAAACTTTTTCGACTCGGGCAGGACTTGAACCGGCATCGTCAGCGTTCAGTGCAACAGCACGGAACGCTGACGATGATAATTTTATCACCCAAATGTAATAGCTGCAAACCAGGAAACCCGATATCAGCGCCAGAACTTTGCTCATTATTTACATCCATAGAATCATAATGTTATCTATTATTATCAACGCTAATGATAAAACAATCACCGCTTTGTTTTGAGATAACATTTCAGTACCAAACTAAATACTAAACTATGGGTATTGACGTTGTTTACGAACTAGCTGCGATGGATGTCATAACATAGTAAATATAAATGAAATTTGCACACAGTATTATTATATTAGTATAGCAAAATATGTGTTTTCACACATATTTTGTTTCACCTTCCTGTGGGATTTAAAGCTTGCCTGTTTTAAGTTATAATTAAATTTAAACGGGCAAGCAGTTACTACTTAGAATACTACTTATGACCTCTCATCACAATACGTAAAAACTATCGATTCATTTAATTACCAGATTTACCCGGCACAAAAAAGGTTCATTTAGATCTTATACCTCACAGATCTAAAATTCTATAGATGGTAAATACAGCTTGCGATAAAGAGGTGTCATTAAAAATTATTACAATATTTGACAATATTTGACAATATTGACATAAGTATTAAGTCGATAGTCTAAAAAAGTTTGTTAATGTTATGCGCATCGAAACAACACGACACGAATAAGAGACGTATTAGGAGAACGGAAATAACGACCAATATACTTGTATAGAAGTACACTTGAATTGTACATAAAAACAATAAAAATAATCATGCGAATACCTTTAACAACTGTTACTATATTTTATTTATATAAGTAAGCGCGCATTAATTGTCAGTCTGTTACATATATTTTCTATTGGAAATTTTTATACTAAAAATATCATACGTATAAACTCAAAAATTATTGAATTGTCAAGTAGCGGCTAGCAAGTAGCGATATATAATATAGCAAAAACTAAATACGATGGCAAGTGTCTCGTAGCAAAAAAACCTGTAGAATGTGTAATTAGACAACCATTAAACCCCAACGAACGATAAGAGCCAGGAAGCGTAGGCTATAAAAATAAAACACATTCACGTGAGTCCGGTACGCTCGCCGCAAATCGACTAGTTTCCAACCGACCGAATTAACATTAACGATTTTTTGTCATTCGCAGTGAATGAAGTCGTCCATATCCTTAGGACGGTTTCGCTGCGCCAGGAAAGAAAATGTTTTAATAAAACTCGTGTATCGCTGATGTTAAACATTAAGCAGACACACCACTGTAATAGGCAACAGCGATGTTAGTTGACGACAACGGATGGTAAAAAGACGGCAAATAAATATTACAAAAAAATCATCTTTTCCCCTTGTAATAAGCAGCATTTTAAATATTAATTTATGAATAGGGAAAGTTTTCATATTTTACTAAAAATACTTGAGTAATGTTTCCTTTAACAATTGAAACCGACACATCGATTAAACCTTTTTATAATTACCCACTGTCATTGCAAAGTGGGTAATTACAACAATCTCTAAATTCTTCTTAGCCATTGGAAATACTAAACGTATTACAACAAGTAATACTAACCGCTTCCGCAATGAATTCGTCACATTGTGCCACCTTAATATGGCATTTTAAAGTGCTTCCTAAAATCGTATCTATGAAGTGAAATATAATAGTCTCACTTCCCCGAGTTTCCCACGACGATCGTTCCGCGTGGAACACAAGTTGTTGCAATTACCTACTAATACAATGTGAAATAGTTACGTCACTATTGTTTAATTAGATCGGTTGCTTCAAAATATAATTACGCCTTAAGTAGGCGGTTGTGCTGATTCAAGTACTTGTCACACGGATTTATTTATTCCAATTTAATTCATCAACCGGCATAGAGAACAATTTATATACAATATGAAAACATACTTAACCCAAATTCTAGTTTTGCACACTCAACGTGCGTTGGGCGTGTATACAAAATTATACTAATCTTAATAGAAGTTATGAAAATATGGAGTTAGCGGTTACCTTCACTGCGACGTGGAAAATATTCAGTAACATTAAATAATACAGAAGTAATGATAATAGTCAAACTTCTAAAGTTAGTAATAATGTTATTCTACTGTAGAAGCGTAACATAAAGAAAAACGGATGGTTCGCGGTATTTGTAATGAAAATTGTAGACATTTCATATGTTACTTAATAGTATGATGTATATTAGGAAATCTTCGCATTAAAACGTACTTCACAAGAGTAATTTCCGGTCTAAAGTGCGAGATTAGGACGTGGGTATATTCAATCTCTAAGCCTAACTAACTTTGAATTTTAGACAGCATTGTGTAGTATAATGAAACACCTGGATAGTTGCAAATTTATGGAGCGGCAGCTGCTGAATCCAAAACAAAACCGGGGTTGACATTAGAGAAATATGATCGCCGCTATGCATAATTTTGATTGCCTCTTAAACAAAGCGCGCTTAAATTAAGCCGCGTACTCCAAATTAATCTGACTACGCAAACTTCGGCTATTAAACACCGAAATTATAATAAAGCTATGAGCCAAATTTACAAAATTAATTTTAAGATGCGCTATTGTTACTTGCACATTTAAAATTGGTCTATTAGATGATAATTTAACTTACGTCATATGCCATTAAAGGTATAATTACTAATTACGAGTAAATGCAATTTTTAAGTCCGATTACTAAACTAAACCTAATTAGTATAATAGTGTATATTTAAAAAAGAAAAGATTGAAGCAATCAGGTTGTAGTGCAAGTGCTGCAACGCTATCCACGATAGGTATTATTATTCATAACATACTTACAAAAGTGTCGTTGCATATTCCCATTAAGAAGCACAACAAAAAAATTATGCTTGATAGTAATTTTGCAAATATCATAATATGAGTCTGCCTAACGTCGCATGTAGGTACCTACTTTGTTATCAATACAAAAAATTGTAGTACCTATAAAACAAATAAATTATATATTGATATATATAGTTCATTGTTGAACTAGAACGCTAAGTCGTCCAGAATCCAATAAATGATGATGAATCTCTAAACGCTAATGAGTTTTGTTATCTGTCAGCTGTCGGAGGAAAAGGATTGACATAAGATGGCAACTTACCGGACTTCCTAATAGCTTTTCAACTTTAAGATCTCCTAAACACTTAGTAACAAGAACTTTGAAAACTATTTCAGGCTTACCTCAACTAAATCAATTATGTAATATCTATTCTTTGTCTCACCACAATGAAAACGTGGTACCTATTTTGTTAACGTGAACAAACCACCATTCTCAAGGGAGGGACAATACAAGAACCATCAAAATAGCTTATTAAGTTTCTTCGATAAATACCTAGGTATATGTTTTAAATAAACTAAGCAACTGGTTTTATTAGATTTTTTTACAATATTACTCTATGTACTTATCTATTATACGTGAATACTGTTCAATCATTAAGAATAGAGTGATTACCAGTCAATCTTCTATTAAAGGAAAAGGAAAGACAGGTATTTCCTTTGCGGCGACGACCTTAGAAAAATGCCTCATTAGTTATGCGCTGATGCATCATAGGTTTAGCCTCCGAGTGTCCGACAGACGCATAAAGAATTATAAGCTTTAATAATAGGGTAATAAGAATTATATTGTTATAGCACTTATTATAGTAAGTTTAATTGACATGAGATTTACGAAATAAGTCGAAACCTATTTTGTTGCTAATAGCTCTTCCCTACACTGTATAGAGAAGGCTAAGTAGTAAATGTAAGGTACTAGTGTGAGCAACATTACTACCTTACATAAATGAAGCCCTATAGGTACATTCTTTTCATCAGCTTTGTTGATGATAGATCTGCGTCTTCTATGATTTCTAACCCTAATTCAAATAACAGGTACCTAGGTATATCTGCAAAAAGTTAACGTTTAAACCACTCATGTTCATAGGTAACTACTATACCTACAGCAAACGTAGGTATGTAGGTACCTAAAGAGATATATTCAGATTTATTTGTTTTTAAATTGTAGAAAAATACTTTGTGACTTCTATTATTTTTTTCAATTGAAACTACAGAAAATGATTTAGTAGATAAATTAAGCAGTATTAGTAGGTATGTGCATAATATTCAACAATGTTACTACAATGCACTGTGTCATTTAGGTAGGTACCTATATTGTACTATATAGATATAACCTGTAGGGTCTCATATTCTTCGTTCAACCGTTTCCTGTGAATCTTGAATAGCTTTACTGTATTATTTACAACAACTAAAAAAAATATTTAATATTCATGAAGTAAAAAATATTAACAATGCGATAATCTGAAGAGCGTTTTCCGCAATTACAAAATAGGTAGGTACGTCCAAACTTACCTGACTGGGTATTTACTTATCGAGGAAAACAAATCTAGATAAATATCTATTAAACTTTTTAATCTATGCGTGTAATTATTTACTTATCTTCGTTGATCGAACAGTTCGATGACGTGAGAATGTCGAATATATTAAACACTTATAAAATTAAATGTATCGATACAACCACCGATCAATGAGTGAAATGAATGCAAAAAATGAGGTAAAAAGCGGCATAAAGCTCATTAAATTATAACTTAGCCTCAGTATAAATCATCACAAGTTCATAAGGACCGGACAAGTGACATTCCGTATGCATCCAATCGCATTATTATTCGCAAGTTTTACACTGACCTTTAGTGAAAACGGAACCAGTACAGCCAACGATATAAATCCAGATGGTGCTAAAACCGCTAGAGTATCAATATTTAGCACATGACACAAACAATTCACATGTAAAATCGAAAGCTCGCGTACTTGATAAACACAGGCAACGTACGTCAACACGGGACGACGCGCTGAGTGCGACTGGCTCGCGGTGTACCGGAGTACGGAGGTCGGAGGCGAAGGAACACCGAGGTACTAAGGCTCGCCGTAGACTGGCCACTGATCAACGATAGGTTGCCGGATCAGAAGTTCAAAATATCAGGAAAAATGTCAAAATCGGATATTAGGGTTGTTGTCGGGCCGAATAAAATATTAATAAAAACGTCCTATATATTTTTTTTTTCCGCCTCTGCAGCCAAATGGTTAAACGTATTGCCTAGCATTGCGTTAAGCGCGAGAGATTCTAGACCCGACCGTAACAAAAAATTGTTTCGGTCGGGCAGGGCACAGAAGTCAGATCAAGTACTTGCCTGATAAAGAATGAATCAGTGAAACGGATACAATAATGTGTTCGCTCCATGCCCCATGAGGGGGAAACGGGACACTTTATATTCTTTTTTAGTTTTGACACACAATAAAATATCTGTTTTACTGGAGATTTTGAGATTTCTCGCATAGATCATGAAAATTAGCGTTGAATAATGATGCTTTGGGGATTGATTGGAGTGGTGTGCACGAGTCTGATTCCTTGGACGGTAAAATCGATCTGTTCAACAATGCTATCACCAAACTTTATGATAAACATGCACCATTAAGGCCAGTTAAATTAAAACACTTACCTGCTCCATGGCTTTCCGAAGACCTTAAATCACTCATAAATAAAAAGAACAGAGCGAAGGCTAAGATGAGGGCCGCTAAGTCTGCGATCGAACGCGAAGCATATAAGAGAGTGCGTAATCGTTGCAACACTCTGTGTCGCGATGCCCAAAGACGCCATATTCATGACTCTGTGTCCAGCGGTGATACGTCCAAGACCTGGAAGTTCCTTAGACACCTGGGTGTGGGCAAGCCTTCTCGACCTGATATCCCTTCTTCCTTCGATATAAACAATTTGAATTCCTATTTTACATCTCCCTGTATTCCTAATGGTTTCAACTTGGAACGCTCTTTGAATAATATTTCATCCTTCCCTACTCCTGACTTTGCTCCTTTCTTTTTTACTTCACTTACTGATAGAGACATTGAAAAGAGCATATTGTCTATATCTTCAAATGCCGTTGGAAGTGATCTTATCAGTCGTGCTATGATCTTGCCTATCCTCCATATTATCCTACCAGTCCTTACTCATATACTTAATTTTTCTATTTTTTGTAGTAAATTCCCCGATTCCTGGAAATCTGGTTTAATCATTCCTGTTCCCAAAAAATCTAATCCCAGTCACGTTTCCGACTTTCGACCTATTTCTATCCTACCTTTCTTGTCAAAAGTCCTAGAACGTATTATCCACCAGCAACTCAGTAAGTTTCTAAACAAAAATTCTATCCTTGATCCACTTCAATCCGGTTTCCGCCCGGGTCATAGTACGACCACTACACTTGTAAAGGTTACTGACGATATTCGTCAGGGTATGGACAGTAAGCAGCTCACGGTATTGACTTTATTAGATTTCAGTAATGCTTTTAATACTATAAATTTTGAAGTGCTTCTTAGTCTTCTACATTCCATTAATATTTCTCCCACTGCTCTTAACTGGTTCTCGAGTTACCTTCACGGTCGTCGTCAGCGCATCAGCGGAGGAGGAGACATTATTTCTAAGTGGAATGAAGTAACAGCTGGTGTCCCACAGGGTGGTGTCCTATCTCCTCTTCTGTTTGCGGTATTTATAAATTCTCTAACCAGTCACCTCTCATCTTCCTATCATTTATATGCTGATGATCTTCAGATCTATGCCCAATCTTCTCTTGATGACCTTCCACTTGCTATGCAGAAGATAAATAATGACCTACGTAAAATTGAAGAATGGTGTAAAGATTTTGGCCTTAAAATTAATCCTTCTAAAAGCCAAGCAATTGTCATAGGAAGTCCTTATTTTATCTCCAGAGTAGATTGGGCACAGCTTCCCTGCATTCATATAGAGAATGTGGTCCTTAACATAAGTAATTCTGTAAAAAATCTTGGTGTATACCTTGACCAAACCTTTTCCTGGGCGCATCATGTTGAGCATATTGGCCGTAAAATTTATGCCGCTTCTAGTGTGCTAAGACGACTTAGTCATTTCCTTCCTATACGCACTAAGACCATCCTAGCTCAAACTCTTCTTTTACCACTGCTGGACTATGCCGACGTATGCTCCCCGGATTTGAATGAGGAACTGTTGGATAAACTGGAACGTTTACAAAACTTCTGTATCAGATTCGTATTTGGTTTGAGAAAATTCGATCATGTATCCGCGTTCCGTAAAAAGCTAGGATGGTTGCCCATTCGTTCTCGGCGAGATGCGCATATCCTTAATCTTCTTTATTCTATCCTTTTTTGCCCCAAATCTCCTTCCTATCTAAAATCTAAGTTTAAATTCATGGGTCCGTACGGTAGCTACGATTTGCGATCATCTGACCGGCTTATACTTGAAGTTCCTTCCCACAGCTCCAACTATCTAGGCAAATCCTTTCAAATTACTGCGGTCAGGTTATGGAATACCTTACCCGTCTCCATACGTATGGCGTCTTCCCTCCTATCCTTTAAAAAGCTCCTCTACAAGCACTTTATGTCACTTAATTACCCATCTTAATAAATTGTCACTATCTTTTAATATTTTTACGCAATCCTTATTTTAGTTTAGTTTCCCTAGATAAGTTTTGAAATTGTATGTAAGTTTTATTTTGATAAGTTTAAGATTATATTTAACATTGTACATTTTGTTTCGCCCACCTTGCACATCTCGTTTTCCCGTAAACTTTTTTCTCTTTCATCTTGGGTTGCCTGGAAGAGATCGCTCGTTAGCGATAAGGCCGCCCATTGCACTCCATATGTTTAGTATATAAGTTTATATTTTTGTTAATTTTTTTTTTGTGCAATAAAGTGTAAATAAATAAAATAAATAAAATAATAAATAAAATAATAAATAAAATTATTGGAAAATCCCGACGATGGTCGAACCATCAATCCTAGTCACCGCCGCCGACATATTTCCTTTAATTTTTCAGACTTCCTATATGGCCATGCATGATTGATACTAATAGTAGCCGAACGATGCAAATCAATAATGAAACTGATGATTATCAGTTTCATTATTGATTTGATACTGGCTACAAATAAGCACGTGTGCGGCGACCCTTAGCCGCGGAGGTCCGTCGTACTGAGGTCGTTGGCGATTGGAGGAGAACGGGATGCGACAGCGAGATGCGCGCATACCCAGCTTCCGTTCGAGTCGTTTGATAATTTTCGCGCTGGAAAACTAAAGTTGAGAGCGCACCGCTGCTTTTATATAATTAGGGGCGTTACATACCGTATCGCATATCAATCGTAGCTTATTCGTAACGTATAATAGTTCAACTCATAACAAATTCAAGGTCATTTGATATGCTACAAAAGTGCTTGTAGGAAAACAACATTTAAAACATATATTTTTGTGTCACATTACATTTGACTGGCCGTTTTTCGCAACAAATTAGCGATTATATACCTAATGTATTATTTGTAAATTGTCTAAGTGTAAGGACATACACACTTCTTTGTATGTTTAATTTTGTATTAATTCTAGAAATTGCAAGTATAAATGTAGTATAGTAGGCTTAAGTTCCGCCCGATATCATATTTTTTTTCATTTATTTAAGGTTTAATAAAATATTAAAGCGTTAGTTAATTAGCCAAAAATATAACATATTCCTTGAAGTGATGTACATAGTTTGGAGATATTATTACTTTCTAAAAATTAACACTAAAAAATACTACAAGAATAAGTACTAAATGACTATGAATGAATCTCCATTATCCTTATCATTAGCTCTCGTTTATTCAATTGGAGTGTTTTCTTCACATTGCACTTGTGCATATAATTTGTTATCTGTGGGTCAATTAGGTTCATTAACACGCTTTATGTACTCGACCGCGCTACGTTCGACTTGAATCCCGACGGAACACGCTGTATGCATTTCACTGTTTGTTTAGGACCAAAACAAAGCAATGATATTCAACTTTGGTTAGTAATATGCCACAAAAGCTCTTGAATCACAAATGCATAGATTGTATTGTACCGATAAAGGTGCACATGCGTAGAATATCGAAAGTAATTATTATCTTAAAATATAAAGTTGTGAGCACAATAATAGTGACGATCTTCTTTTCAATATTAAAGTTGTCATTATTTTTTGTTTACTAGGAAATTAATAATTCCTTTCACGTATAAAATACTCAACAAACTTTTCATAAATTATAAAGATCCAGCTAGCAGGATGCATAAGTTGTCTGCCCACCCATTTTAATTAAAGTTTTTTTTACCTTTCGGCAAGTATACCATGCCTATTTATTCCAGTCTTTTATTAAAAAAAAACCACAAAATATTAATATTAACAATTTCTTATCAATTAAGTATTAATTAATTTATTTAACATAGTCGTTTATGATAGAAATGAAAAAAAATAAAACACTTTATTGTAATAAAATACAAATATAGTATAACTAAATTATTGATTAACATCATTAAAGAGTTAGTGTTGAGGCGGTCTTATCGCCCATATTTCTTCCAAGCAACCTTTGTATACACTAAAGAGAAACATATTAACAATTTGTTGTAACGACAATCTTGTATGAGAATTCTACTAACAACATTATATGGCGTCTAATATGCATAATATAATACCATTTTCTAAAAACATAATTGCATTATTACCTAAGCGTACGTCATATCACTAACTAATAAATAACTTTTCACGTGTACCCTCATATCTTTAGACAGCTGATGTCTTATCAAGAGACGTAAGTATTTGTGTTTAGCAAACAGTGTATTTTCCAATTTGAATACGGAGTATGCCTAAAAGTTGAATATTACTATTATTACGATATCATTTAATGTATGACGCGCAATGGTATACAGCTGTTTCCACATATAACGGAGGCTAATCATTTGAGGCTTATTTTAATTGAATTATTGTGTAATAACATTACTTGATTTGCAGTTATTCATATCCAGGTTTTGGAATTACAGGCCAATTAGATTTATTAGCTTTTGGAGGTAAATTTGCAGCAGACATATCGGGATTAGACTTGCAGCGTCTTTTTTATGATAAAGGAGCAAAGATAAGCATGGAGTTTACTTGATGTTTTTTAAAATACCCAACCGTATAACACGTAAACAAGATGCCCCGTTGACCTATTTTACCTTTGAAAATGCCGACAATCTCAAACCGAAACACGATAAAACTTGACGGCTGTTTCAATTGTGGACGGAAATCCAGATTTCCACATGAAGCACAACATGTTTCAGGAAAATCATAAATTTATTATAATAATGTTAAACCGATGGCATCGAACCCACGACCCGTTGATAATTGAAAAGATATAGCCCGACCAACGACTCAGTCTTGTGTTAACATTTAACTAAGTGTAAGTAAGGACAGTGGTACTTGCATTAAAAAAATATGTTACACAATCCGAAATCAAATCAACTGGCTGGACCAAGTCGGATAAAGCGTGAAAATATATGAAAACTTTTAATTAGACTAGAATTCGATAGAATGACGCGAAACAATTTATGTCAAGTTTCCAAAGCGCCGGTAAACAATAAAAGTTGGCGAAGAAATAGGCACTTATGCGAAAGGGTTCCAGCCGGGAGTAATGAATAATATTGATA